GCTTTAATGAAAAACTTATGATGTTCGAGGGGCTAGAGCCTTGGAGAAAATTCGGGAGGGACTCCAAAAGAAGCAGACAGCTGTGGAGATTATACCGGTACCGGACACAACTTGGGGACCAAATTAAGGAGTGTGGAAAGAAGCCGACCTTTCCACGGAGTCAACGTCCTCTCCCGACACCAGCCCACAACGACTACCCGCTCCCCAGGGAAGACGTCAGTGGAGCTGAAGCAGCTCAAGAGGAAGCTGGGGGTCTACAAGAAGCTGCACAAACCCCGAACTCCTTCTACGGATGCATCCAGTTCTTCGGCATCAACGACACGCACAGTCGTCAAGGAAACTCCGGGCCCTGGAGAAGAGCCGTTCTCCAAGCAGCCTCGGCCAGCTGCTAGCTCAGGAGCAGATAGCAACGAAAAGGTGTGTACGGATTATTGGGATGTACCCTATGACCCCATTAATGAGACTATCTTTGGGTACTCTGAGCAACGCCCGCCTCTCGTGCTCGAGGTCATCTGCAAAGGACGACGCCTCCAAGCACTCGTGGACAGCGGAGCGTCACACACCGTCTGCGACAAGGCAATAATCGACCGACTTCGAGAAGAGTACAAGCCTTCAAAATTCTCTGCAACGATGGTGGATGGCAGCAAGTTACCAGTACACGGCGAAGCAGTGCTACATCTACAAATCGGACCACTGCGCTGGAGACCTGCACTCCCCATCACCAACATCAAAGGGCTTGACTTGATCTTCGGGCGAGACTTCCTGAAAAGATTCAACCCCGAGATCAACTGGGTGAACCGCACCGCAAGCATCTACAACAATGGACGGAGAGTACAGCTACCCAACTGGGACGATACTGGAGATATCCCAGTGGAGACACTCGCACGATTCGAGAAGGACGTGAAGCGGACCGACACCGGGTTCCTGGCGATAGCAACAGAGGTGGAGAATGACGGAGAGAAAGCCTCGAAAACTCCAGAAAAAATCAAGGAATTATTAAAGGAGTTCCAAGACATTCTTCCTGACGATCTTCCGAACGAGCTACCGCCATACCGAACACATCAACACGAGATTGTGGAGGAACCGGGTTCGAAGCCGACCTTCCGAGCACCATACCGGCTCAGCCCTACGGAGCTGACCGACATGAAGAAGCAGATCGAGTATCTCCTAGCCAAAGGACTCATCCGACCATCTACTTCGCCATACGGTGCCCCAGTACTCTTCACACCGAAACCGGACGGAAGCCTGCGCATGTGCATCGACTACCGAGCTCTTAACAAGCAGACCATCAAGAATAAATATCCGATACCACGAATCGATGACCTGCTTGACCAGCTTCGGGGAGCTACGGTATTTTCCAAACTGGATCTGCGGTCCGGATACTGGCAGATACGGATGGCGGACAACTCTATCCACAAAACTGCTTTCCGAACTCGGTACGGATCGTACGAGTATTTGGTCATGCCGTTCGGACTCACCAACGCGCCGGCAACGTTCCAAGCCGAAATGAACCACATTCTACGACCACTTCTGGACGAATGCGTGGTGGTGTACCTGGACGACATACTCATCTACTCGCGCGACATGAAGCAGCACGTCGAACACCTGCGACGCGTCTTCGAAATTCTTCGACGAGAACGATTCTACGTCAAACTGTCCAAGAGCGAATTCGCCCTGGAAAAGGTCCAATTTCTAGGACACATGGTGAGCGCTCAAGGAGTTCACGTCGACCCCAAGAAAATCGAAGCCGTACGTACGTGGAAGACACCCGAGAACGTGAAGGAGTTGCAGCAGTTCCTAGGCTTCGCTAATTACTACAACAGGTTCGTGCCACAATATGCGAAAATCGCAGCACCACTCACGAATCTGCTGAAGAAGAACACGCCCTACAAATGGGAACCAAAGCACCAGGAAGCCGTGGAGCAGCTGAAACAAGCACTAACATCCGCACCGGTGCTCATCTTGCCAGATCCCGAACGTGACTACGTCATTGAAGCAGACGCCAGTGATCAGGCCGTGGGAGCAGTCTTGATGCAAGACCAAGGGAATGGACTGCAACCCATTGCCTACCTCAGCAAGAAACTGCACGGAGCAGAACTCAACTACCCGATACACGACAAAGAGGCCCTTGCTATCATCATCGCCTTCAAAGCATGGAGATGCTATCTCGAAGGACGAAGAACAACCGTCTACACCGACCACTGCAGCCTGAAATATTTGAAGACACAACCCAACCTTTCCAGGCGGCAGGTCCGGTGGATCGACTTCCTCGAGACACACTTCCACTACGACATCGTGTACAAGCCTGGCCACAAGAACAAAGCAGACGCGCTCAGCCGGCCTGCACACGTTGCCGCGATTCAGGTCGAAGGGATGAATCCACTACTCAAGGGACTCTTCACACACGGGTACGCCATCGACCCCGAAATACCCTTGGCAGAAAAACGACATCTACTACAGTGGGACAACGACATTGCGTACCGGAAAGGCTCAACGAAAATCTGGGTACCCAATTACCCTCCTTTGCGCCAGTTACTACTCGAAGAATACCACGACGTCCTGTACGCTGGACACTTCGGTAGCAACAAGACGCTCACCGGTATCGCCAAACACTACTACTGGCCCCATATGGCAGACGACGTCCAGAAATTCGTCACCTCGTGTGATACATGTCAGCGGATGAAGAGCAGCAAGCAGAAAAAGGCGGGACTACTGCAGCCTCTTCCTGTCCCAGAACAACCATGGCAAGTGGTTAGCCTAGACTTCATTACCGGGTTACCACCTACCTCCAGCGGTCATGACGCCATCCTTGTCGTCATTGACAAGTTCTCCAAAATGGGACACTTCATCCCGACACACACGACGGCACGCACCGAGGAGACAGCACAGCTCTTCGTTCGTCACATCATCTCACAGCATGGCATCCCAACTACACTCATCTCCGACCGAGACCCCAAGTTCACTAGCAAGTTCTGGAAGGAACTTATGTCTCTGCTCGGCACCAAACTCGCCATGTCATCCGCATACCATCCGCAGACAGACGGACAGACCGAGCGCCTCAACCAAATTGTTGAGCAACTCCTCCGAGCAGCCTGCAAGGACGACATCTCCAAATGGGACTTGCACCTACCCGTCCTGGAGTTTGCCTACAACAACGCTACACACGCCGCTACGGGACAGACGCCGTTCTTCCTCTGCTACGGACGCCACCCACTCACACCACAGAAACCGACAACACCAGCAACAGTCCAACCTGCACACGACTTCATCACAACCATGCATCAGCTTTGGGATCGGACCCATAAGCGCCTCCTTGACATTCAACAGCAACAGAAGCTCCAGGCCGATCGCCATCGCAACGACCACACCATTTCCGTGGGAGACCAGGTTCTCCTTGACACCCGCAACCTGGACATCAGCCATCTCCCATCTAAACTTCGACCTCGCTTCTGCGGGCCTTTTCTCGTTGAAGCACAGGTCACTCCTGTTACCTTCCGCTTACGCCTACCAGCTACCTGGAAGATTCACAACGCCTTCCATGTCCAACTTCTGAAGCCCTATCGAGATCCTAATACGATCTTCGTCGGACGCCAACCGCCGCCGCCGCCACCCGTCCTCGTCCAAAATGAACCCGAGTACGAGGTCGAGTCCGTGCTTGCACACCGCCGTCGTCGGAATGGCACCGTGGAGCTTCTTATTCGTTGGAAGGGCTATGATCCTTCTGAGGACAGCTGGGTCTCTGAGACCGACATGGGTAACGCCCGTCGTCCTCTGCATGACTACCTTGTCAAGCAGGGTGTTACTTCTACCACCCAGCTTTGAGGGGGGGAAGTGTGAGAGTACGACTCCGTTACACCACTTGGCCTTTTCCATATTTCATCTTCATTTCATTCCTCTTTTTATCTCATCTCCTTTTGCCTCATATTCCCCATTTTCCATTATCCTTTGGTTTCTTCCTTTATTATTATTATATCACCGACCAGGCATGGAATGTTCTAGACACGCTATCTAGCGTAATCCTGCCGTAATCTCTTAAAGCCAATAGCCTCGCGTGGCTATACGCAGGGTGATTCTATCTTCTAGAAGGGTCTATTCCCTTAGGATAAGATAAACCTGGTTACCTGATGTACTCTGGAAGTATAAAAGCGCCTTGTACTGATCGATAGGGCAACTTTTCCTCGACACATTCGATCCTGTGACACCTTGTCTGATTCCTTTGACTGGTCTTTAGACCCCTTGTCTCAAAGGCTGGACTAGTAGTGCCGCCCTGAGCTGCTTCTTCCCTTGTTAGGCACTGCCCCTATATAGTCTAGGGGGTGTGTCAAACATAGCTTATGCAGCTACTGTAGACTATATATGTTTGTGCCTTAGTGGGTACAACACTCTAGACTATATTGCCTTGTATCTCACCACTCTAGTTATTCATTCTTTCTGTTAGTTACTATGTCGAAAACCTTATATCTTAAAGCGAGAGGTCAAAATAGTGAAGGCGGGTCCAGCTTGAAAGGGCCCAGACGTCATTTTTTGCGACTAAGGGACAAAACTGCGACGGGGCAGAGGATACACTGTCGAGAAATGCGAGCATGGGAAATTGGGCGAGTAGAGGCAGTTACCTGATTGGTTGATGGGAAACCCATGACGTACGATGGGAAACGTGGCTCAGGAAAAATCGCAAGCAGCGCGCCACTTGTCGCCCAGGCCCCACTGCCTGTAAGCTGCACCAAGTGGGCCCAACTCGAATTTCAAGTTGGACCGAGGTTCACTACTCCGGCAAAAACGAGGCTGGGCCCGAATTGGTCGAAATGCTAAGTGCGCAAATCTGTGATCGTAAAATCTATCGCCAGTGCGAAATGTTGCAAGCGCAATTCGATTACGTGGCATACGGCTTGGTAAAAAACGCGGGCTGCTGCCTGCCCCTCCAAAAACATATTAACTGTTGGGTCGTTTCTAGTTGGTTTCGTCAACAGGACGAAACACATTTCGTTGCGATACTTCTTCGTCAAGGACGAAGTCGAGAAGGGGAGAATGCGATTGGTTTACTCTTCAACCAATGAAATGGTTGCAGATTTTCTCACCAAGAAGCTGACACATCAGAAGTTTCAATACTGCAACGAGCTCTGCGGGATTATCATGAAGTGAAACTATCGGACTTCCAGAAATGAAGGGGAGTGTTGTGATAAAGTTATACTTGTTGTGCTGAGAAAAGCCCTTGGGATCTTTCCAGAGACTAAGTCCCAGCTGTAAAGACTTGAGACTTGGGGTAGTGCAGCGGAAGTTGAGGCAGTTGAACCCTTGTACTAGTATGTGAGAACAAGTGATAATAAAAAGACAAACATACAGCAATATATAGAAGATAAGAAACAGTTGTAGAGTACAGTTGCAGTAGCGGTTTATCGAGTCGTACAGCGACTCGATTGTCGCTTCGGTTACCATCCGTGCTGTTGTAACGGTCTGTCGCAACCTCCAGTTGCGACCCTTTGAGTCCCAAACCCTTCGTGTTCTTTGTCCGCCCCCTCGTGTAACCTCCGTTGACTCGCGTACCCCTTGCAATCTTCCTCGAGTGTAGTGTTACACTTCAGAAACGCTTAAGTCTTTTGATGTACTTTCAACACTCCCCTTCGTTTCTGGAGTGCTGACTTGTTCAGGTCCGATGACGTTTGTTTGTCCGGTCAGCAACATGCAGTAGTCGAATTTTGCTTTTGCCAATTTCTTCGTCAAATAGTCTGCGGCCATTTCTGTTGTCGGGCAGTAACTGAGTTGAAGTCTCCCTTTCGCGATTTCATCTTTGACGAAGAAGTACCGCAGGGCGATGTGTTTGGTTCGGTTGGCGAAGCCGTCCTTGTTTGCGATTTTGATCGCAGAGTGGTTGTCGCAGAAGAGTGAGAAGGCGGGCAGGGTCGTGATCTTCGCTTCCTCGAGTAACTCTCGCAGGTAGAGTCCTTCCTTGGTCGCAGTACAAAGGGCGATGTACTCTGCTTCAGCCGAGGATAGTGCGATTAACTCCTGCTTGCTCGACTGCCAGGAGATAGTTCCGATGGGTTCTAGTCGGTAGATGTAGCCCGTCCTAGATCGTCGATTTTCCCTGTCTCCCGCGTGGTCGGCGTCGACGTATCCGAGTAGTTGTACGGACGGTGTTGTCGCTTTGCTGTAGGTAAGTCCGATCGTTGGCGTGGAGACGAAGTAGAGTAGTGCCCGGTTGAGTTCCTCGAGATCTTCCTGTTCCGGTTGCTTCAGATGCGTCGCTAGTTGACTCGCACTATAGGACAGGTCGGGTCGGCAGGTGACTGCTGCGAATAGTAGGCAACCGAGCTTCTGTTGATACTCCTGGATTTGCTTCGCGGGGAGTTTTGCGGAGGCGCTGTTGTTGTTTCCGTAGCGGTAGGGAGTCGGGACCGTAGTCGGCGTCAGTCCGAATTTCTTCGCGACAGTGCCTGCGTACTTTCCAGCGTGTAGGTAGAACGCCGAGTTGTCTTCGACGACATTTAGTCCCAAGTACTGGGTCACTGAGTCGGACACCATGAGCGTCAGGTCCCCTTTCAGCTCCCCTTCGAACCAGGTGACGATGTCGGTGGTAGAACCGATGTAGAGCAGGTCGTCGACGTAGACTATGAGCAGAATGTAATCTCTTCCCTTCTGCAGTCGGTACATGCCTTGGTCATGTGGTAACTGTAGGAATCCGATTTTTACGAGCCGGCCGTGAAGGTGCTGCTGCCAGAGCCGTGGGGCTTGCTTGATCCCGTAAAGGGATTTTTCCAGCTGGCATACTTTTGAAGGGTCGTCGATGAATCCGTGGGGTTGTTCGACGAAGATTTCGGCGTCCACAGGTGCGTACAAGAAGGCGTTTGCGACGTCGATTTGCCGTAGTGGTAGTTTCTTCGTGGCCGCGACGGCGAGTAGGATGCGCAGGGAGGTGTGACGGGAGACTGGGGCGAAGGTTTCTGTGTAGTCGGTTCCGTATCGTTGGTCGAAGCCTCGTACGACCCATCGCGCTTTAAAACGTTCGATGGAGCCGTCCGCGTTGGTCTTAATGCAGTACACCCATTTCCCCGAGAGAATGTTCCTCCCGTTGGTGTTGGTTGTCGGTACTAACTTCCATGTATTCCGGTCTTGGAGGGCTTTTAACTCTTTTTCCATTGCTTCCTTCCATTCCGCCTTATGTTCCCCCCCCAGAGCCTGCGACAGGGTCGATGGCTCGCTCGGAGAAGGCGGCGGCGGGTGCTGGACGGAGACCCATAGTCCTAGGATCTGCAGTCCCGTGGCTGTGTGTCATTACCCAACATACTAGTGCACAGGAAGAAAGTTTTTTATTCTTTATTAAAATAAAAATAAAAAATGGAGCATACCGTATAAGAAATCTAGCTGTGGCACTATATCTATCAACACAAACTCTGCACCGACGGATATTTTCCAGCCAAAAGCATCGCTGGACCGCTATGTCAACCGGTCCACGTGTATGGAGGCAATTCCTTCTAGAGATTTTGTGTCTGAGTTGGAGCTAACCAATAAGGTAGATGGACCGTGTGGTCAAAATGTCTCTGATACGAAGGGATTTTATTAGAAGCTATAGAAATAGAAAATAGTCGGATACAGTATGTCAACTTTCACAAAGATTTTGACGATGAGAGCTATACGAGGTGAGTGATCATGAACAAGTTGCTAAGATGTTCCAGAGTTGCGAGACCATCATATCCGACGAGGATAGTGGAAATTCCGTTGGTGAAGACTCTTGGATATGTAAGGATGCCATTGACGAGACAGGGAATGATTGTGAGTTCGAAGCTAATGATAATCAACCACTCACTGAAGTTGATGTAGGGATGGAGCTTGGCTCATCAATTGGGAAGGAGCAAATGTGTGATATTTTCGTTCTATATCTGTCTATGAGAGCGTGTAGCCTAGCGTTTCAGAACAGATTTCCGTCTGAAGGTGAAACCGGTTACTGGGTTTGCCTGTGTTCTCAAAGAAGTTCGCCAAAGCCCTCACAAAAGAAACGTCAGTTTCAAACTCCAATGTTCCACGCTTGTCTGGACACAGTGTCCAAACGATATTCTGGACAAATGTCCGGATGCTTCCCACCAAAACCAAACATCTCCCCTGCGCGAATTTTGCGAGCAGTGTCGTCAGTCACCAGAAACAGCGCCATTGCACGGAATTCCCGACCAGCCCGCCAAAAACAACAAAAATGGATGTTCGGCGGAAGGCTCTTTCTACAGGCAAAACTTGCATTGCAGATAGCTAGAGCAACTATACACTAGCCCATGCTAGAGACCCATGTCCCAAAGAGCACAAAAAAGAACCCTTTGAAGAAGCAGGCATAATCTGTGATTTGCATGCTCTTTCCCCACCATGGACTCCCGCAGTCTCCTATTCTCAAACTCACCTGCCTGCGACGGCGACCATCTCCCCTTCAAGCCCCAGTACCACAATCCACCCCATCCTGGATTCACTTCCATAGCCACCCAAGATCTGAGACCCGGACGCAGCCACTGACGGTGCATGTAAGTCAACCGCATGACTGTAGAGATTAATGAAGAATAGATACTACATATCTTAAATCCCCCTACCATCTCCTGGCTCCCCTCCCTGTCACAATGCGGCCCCTCAAACAGGCCCGATGCCGGACGCCTCTGTGCTCTAGGGCAGGGCGAGCCACTGCCCCACCCCGTACAGCCGCCGCTTCCAACTAATCGGCCAACGCAGTTGCCAGCATCGACCATACCGCATCCGTCGTCTGAGCCGCGACTTCAGCACCCAGCGTTCCCCCACCGGTGGGCACATCTTCCACCGCCTCCACCCCA